CCATCCCCCTCTTCCTCCTCCTTCTCTTTTTCCTTTTTTGTTTTTCCTCCTCCTCCTCCTGCTCCTCCTCCTTCTCCTCCTCCCTCCTCCTTGCCTGTCCTCCTCCTCCTCCTTCGTCCTATTCGTGATGACGATTCGCAGTAATACCATGTGTATGTGTAGTATTAGTATTTCCAGTATTAGTAGTGTTAGTATTAGTTTTGCGAGTATCACCAGTATTATTAACATTGTGTGGATTATGTTGCGTTGCATGAGTATCGTTATTGTTAGTATGCGTCGTATGGTTATTATACTTATACGCCGTGTTCGTATTGTTAGTCTTTTCCGTAGTATGTTTATTCGTATTGATCGCATTCATAATCGTATTGTTCTTAGCAGCCCCATTATTATTGGCATTAATATTCTTACTGGTATGCTTCTTCTTATTTCCAGTGTGGTTATTAGTATCATCATTCTCATTATCCGCCTGCTCCTCCTCCTCCTCCTCCTCCTCCTCCTCCTCCTCCTCCCCCCCTCCTCCTCCTCGTCCCTCCTCATCATCCTTCCTCCTCATCCTCCCTCCTCCTCCTCCTCCCCCTCGTCCCTCCTCCTCGTCCTTCCTCCTCGTCCCTCCTCCTCTTCCTCCTCATCCTCCTCGTCCCTTCTCCTCCTCGTCCTCCTCCTCCCTCCGGACTATTATTCTTTGTGTTATTCATTCGTTTTCTTCTTCTGCTGAGTCTGCTTCTTCATCGTTGTTGTAGTACTGTTTATAATGTTTCGGTTGTTACGCGTATTATCATTAGTCTTCGTATTATCAGGGTTATTGTTATGTTTGTATTGTTGCTACTAGTTTACATGCTGTTGTTCTTAGTTGTTGTTTCTTCTTCCTCCTCTCCTCCTCCTCCTCCTGGTCCCTCCTCATCCTCCCTCCTCCCTCCTCCCTTCTCCCTCCTCCCTCCTCCTCCTCCTCCTCCTCCTCCTCCTCCTGCTCCTCCTCCTCCTCCTCCTCTCTCTCGTCCTCTTCCTCCTTTTCCTCCTTCTCCCTCCTTGTTTCTCTTCTTATTCGTATGTTCGTCTTCTTGGAATTGGTATGAGTATTATTATGCATATCATGTGTATGATTATTATTGTTGTTATCTAAAGGCTGCCGCCTCTGCCGCCGACCCCAGAAGAGCATTCATGCCCAGTTGTAACCATGTGTGTTGGGTTCAACTTTTCAAGTGGCCTCCCAGATCGCCCCAAGGCCAGGGGTTGTCTTGGGAGAGGACGAAGGGGGGATTTCAGACGTGGTTGGGGGATCGGGGCGGTTCTGGACGTCGGAACCCGCTACCGTGCCCGGGCTGCGGGTCGGAGGCCACGCGGATGGCAAAGGGTGTCTCGTAGGAGGCGTCTCGGAGGTGTTTGGGAGGCAGTTTGTGCTCCTCTTGGGGGCCTCCGGGAGCCTTGTGGTTGTTTGGGGGCCTGTTGGGGGCTTCTCGGGGCAACTGGGGAGCGCTTTGGGGCCGAAGGCTTGACATGTTCGTTCGGAGTCCCCCTGTGGGCTATCTTTTGGGGCTGTCCTGGGTCCCCCTGGCTCGTCATGGGTTTTTTTGAGCGGTCTTGGGGCCCTCTTGGGTCGTCTGGGAGCCTTTTGGGGGGCCTCTTTGGCCGTGTTGGGGAATGGGTTAGGAATGAATGGTTCCTCATGGGACTGGGACGATGTTGCTCCTGGAGGGCGTCTTGGGGCGCCTCTTGGGGGCTCCTTGGAGCGTCTTGGGGGCTTCTTGGGCCGTGTGGAGGCCAGCGTGAGCACGTTGGATCGATCTTCTGGCGGCTCGTGGCCTTCTTGGACCGTTCGGAAAGCCTCGTGGGCCCCCCGTGGCATGTTCGAGGGGGGCGTCGGTAGGTTTCGGGCGAGAACTTGTGGGGTAGGAGGCCCCAAGAACAGAGCTCTCCCGGGATGAGGATGCCAGGCCAGGGGTCCAGGAGGGCGAGATCTTGTGGGGTAAGGGGTCCCAAGCACAATTCTCCAGGATGGGGATACCAGGCCAGGAGGGGGTCCAGGAGGGGGGCGTTGGTAGGTTTCGGGCGAGAACTTGTGGGGCAGGGGGTCCCAAGAACAGAGCTCTCCCGGGATGGGGATGCCCGGCCAGGAGGGGCTCCAGGAGGTGGGCGTTGGTAGGTTTCGGGCGAGATTTGTGGGGTAGGGGGTCCCAAGAACAGAGTTCTCCCGGGATGGGGATGCCAGGCCAGGGGGTCCAGGAGAGGGGCGTTGGTAGGTTTCGGGCGAGAACTTGTGGGGCAGGGGGTCCCAAGAACAGAGCTCTCCCGGGATGGGGATGCAGGAGGGGTGCGTTGGTAGGTTTCGGTCGAGAACTTGTGGGCTAGGGGGTCCCAAGAACAGAGCTCTCCCGGGATGGGGTATTTTTCGTCGACAATCTCCCTGTAGGGGGACAGGCCCGACTTAAGTCTGGCCCATGAGGAGTCTGTCCCTGAGCGAGCGGGCGCCTCTCCGACAGGTCATGCCGAGCCGTCGTGGCTACAGGCGGCACCTTTTCACACGCACGTGTCGCCCAATCGTACCGGCTGACTTCTCCTGGATGCACCTCTGGCTCCAGACGCTCTCCTCCTCCTCCTCCTCCTCCTCCTCCTCCTCCCTGATCCTGCTCCTCCTGCTCCTGCTCCTCCTTCTCCTCCTCCTCCTGCTCCCCTGATCGGGACGACCGACATGGGCGCGGAAAGAATGGGTACAATGCCCAACAGCAGTCCCTGCTCATTTTGAGCAGGACTCGCTGTCCGCGCCGCCGCGGCCTGTGTCCATCTGAGTCAGAAGGCCGCCTGCCCAACAGCGGCTGCTGGTGGTTTGGGACAACATGTGTTGCTGGGCATTGTGCCCATTCTTTCCGTGCCCATCTCGGGCGCGCGAACGAGCGGGCGCCCGGGGGCGCGGTGCTCCGGGCTCTGGGCCCATGCGGGGCACAGCAGTTTGCAGGAGGAGGAGGAGGAGGAGGAGGAGGAGGAGGAGGAGGAGGGAGGAGGGAGGAGGAGGGAGGAGGGAGGAGGGAGGAGGAGGAGGAGGAGGAGGAGGAGCAGTGCCAGCGAGCGAACGAAAGCCCCCCAGTCGCCCACTGGTCGCCGACAGGCGTTGGATGGGGCCTGCCCCGCCCAGGGCGTCGTGCGGACGCGCCGTCGGCGGCCTGCCGCCGATCCATCGGCGATGTTCAGGAGGGGAAACAACACACAGACACAATGAATCGTCCACTCCCAGGAAAATATAGGAAAATATGGGGATTGGGGGGGAAGACAGAAACCCAGAAAATGTATGAAAATATGGGGGATCCTTTTATTTGTGTGTATTTTTTTGTGTGTCCTGGGGCCCCTTCAGATGTGCCGCCGATGCCAGGTCGACGTCTCCCTCCCCACGCTCGGGGGTGGCCAAGAGGGGCATGGTAACTAGGGTTAACTCGGGCCTGTCCCTCTACAGGAGGAATCCTCAAAGGCAGTAAACAAGCAGTCTGGGGACGATGTTCGAGTATTTGTTTTACTATGTTTGGGCACTTTTTGCCTAATTCTTATGTTTCGTCGACAATCGGCCTGTAGGGGGACATGCCCGACCTAAGACCAGGGGGGGTGGATGTCCTGGCGGGGGGCATGATATCTTCCAAGATCGCATGGCGCCTCGTCCCGTTTAAATGCGTCCCCAGCCCGCCCCTGGGCCGCGCACGTGCCGCCGGCCACGATTCGCGCCCCCCCCCTCTCTTGGCCGCCCCCCTCTCGGACGCCCCCGACAGGCGGGTCCCCCCCCTAATTTGGCATCGCTCGGACGTGTGCATGCTTCCTTCGGCGAGGACCATCGAGGAGCATCCTTGATCATTTGGGGAAAAAGCCACGCACGAAACCGAAAAAAAACAGGGAATGGACGTCCGAGCGAGGGCCAGCTACCGTTCCCCCTCACCCCGCACCCCGCCCTCGCCCTCCACAGTCGGACACGGGCATCTCCGCGCCGTCGGGGCGCAGAAGACATGTCTGGGTCCCGGAGACGGTTCCTGCGCTCCCAGAGCCTGGGGCTGCCAGGTCGGGGACTCCTGCGAGGGAGGCCGTCTCCGGGATCCGTCTTCGTGCCCTCTCCACTGGGAGGTTGGGGAGCGCGCGAGCTTTTCGAGGGGCCGCCCCTTGATCCTGGCATTCATAGGCTGTGCGTCTCGTGACGTGCGCACGAGGCCGTGCGCAAGCGAGAGACATGCCGTCAAGACGCCGAAAATGAGGAACGCTATGGCTCCCAGGAGGGGGCGCCGGTGCTCGTGCCGTGCCTTCGAGCTGGGTCGGCAAACACCTGTTCGCGGCCGAGGCTCGACGCCCCCGACTCGGTGTTCAGTCTGGCACACCCATGAGAAATTCGTAAGAAACACCCACAACTTTCGTGGACGCCAGATTCCGCCCAGGAAAGACAAGGATCTGAGCCGGATTCCTGGGCGTTGTTTTGGAGTTGCACTTGTTCGCAATACTGTTCTACACTTAGGCCTGGACTGCTGCTTCAGAAAGCGCTCCGAGGGAAGCCCATACTACTTGCGTAAAACGTCTTTCTGATTTGAAGCAGGGGTGCAGCACGGTGACTGTAGAGAGCGAGGAAGAGATGCTCGCCTCCTCTTCTGGCTGACGGAGCCAGTCTGTCTGGGGCACCACGGGCGGCCTCGATGGGTCGTCGTGGCGTGGCCTGGCACTGTGGCGTCACAGCGTCTGCCATGGAATGAGTCACTCGAGACCCATGCACAAAGCAATGGTGTCCCACTCCACGAGTAGTGGTGCACTGGTTGATTCGCGAGGACGTCCTGACCGGTGTCCCGGGTTTGTCCTGTTTGATTTGCGATGTTGTCCCGATCGGGTTGCGATGGTGGGGGGGCTTGCAGACACGAGCACAAGCGGCGATGGGCCCTCCTTACGGCTGCAGGGGGATCGATCCCGCCTTGCGCAGTGCAGGCTGGCCTCTGCGAGAGCCTTCGAATGCCGTTGAGGTTACAACAGATTTGTGTTTCGTGTTCCATAGCCATTTGAGCTCAAGGCATTCGAGGCTTCAAGTAAGACCAGGCCCGATTGAGAGTAATTGAAACTGCCTGGGCTGCCATGGCGCGGGCGGGCCCGCAGGCATTTTCATTGTGGTCTTGCGCATTCCTGTCGCTCAACCTCGTGGCTTCTTTATTGGCGTGGGCAGGCCAGTGGTGGGTCGTCGTGAAGGAAAGTTTGTTCGCTGAGATGTCGAATTTGTTTGGTGAATATGATGTTGGCTTGTTGGGTATGAATGCAAGCCCTTATTGGAAATTACTGGTTCTTGTGAATTTGTGTGGCGTAGTAGCAACCAGTTGCATCGGCGCTCGGCATTACTTGTACCCATCCGAAGGAGGTCGCAGGGATGTGCTCAAGGCCATCATTGCAGCCGTGGATCTCGATACCCCGTACTTTATTGCCACGCAGGGCGTGCCGTATGTATTGGGGCACGAGACAGCAGACATCCCTGCGATGAGACAGCGCAATGCTTATTTCAGAGGTATGCCCACTGCCATGATTGGCTTGTTTGTTGTCTTTCGCGATATTGTTGCATTTCGGATGGACGGGGCTTCCCTCAGGATGGCCATGAAGTTCAACGCAAGCTATGCAAATAATGCAGAGATTGAGTTTAAACGATCGTTGTTCCCCCATCGAATGCACACTTCAAACCCAGATGTAGCCCATGCGGCTTCTCAGTTTTGCAGCGAAGTCGGCGATCTAGAACGGTGGCCGCACACCTTAACCGAGGCGCGCAGCGAAGCTGAGTTCTTTGACCTAACCATGGCTTGGGGATGTGTCCCTGAAGACGTCACGGTTTTCAATGGATGTGCTGCGTTCGTAATGGCAGCGAGGAAATCTGTTCTTGCAGACGCAGCCTGGAAGGTGGTTCGCGATAGCCCATCTGCAACTGTGGGCGTAAACCACCTGGGGATCTCCAACCCCACGTCCTTGGATAGTTATTTAAGTGGTAGAAACCGCCAGAATATACGCCAGGAGTTCATAGAAGGTCAGGGTGGCAGGAATGCAGAACAGATATTTGTTTTAGATTTCGATGGGCGGTCCCTCTGGTGGGACCTCGCGTGGGCGTCGTTTCAGCTGTTGACAGCGTCTAAAGCACTTGCCGAGCAAACTCCGAATTTCCGCTCCGTCTCATTATTGCGGAGATGCTCGGTGTATCTTCACATTCTCTTCGATGGTGTTCTGGTATTGGCGTGTTGCTGTGCGGCTTTGTTGTTTATCCAGTCGAGTGCGGCTGGGATGGGATCTTGGATAAGTTCCAATCGATACTAAATGATCAGATCCCTCATTACGCTGGGGTGGGGTTTGGCATTCTCAACGGCGAACGCAAGGGGACTACAGTTTATGATGGTGTTATATTTCCACTTTTCCGTCAGGTCCTGCCCCAATTCGCGCCTCTCATACAAGAAATTCATACACCATCCAGTTCAGAAGGCCCGCGCATAATTTGCTTGCTTGGTTATCTCGGCTTCATTCACGGGTTCAAGGTGTTGGTGACAGGCACATCGCTTTATGAGTTCCAAACAGTTCTCACAAGCCCAGTGGCAAGTGTTGGGAAAAATGGGCATACTTTAGCAGTCTCCATGGTGTCGTTGGCCATGAGGGCCGGATTGCTGATCGTCGTTTTTGTGGGAACGGTGTCGACATGGAATGCTTTCCAGGTTGTTATCGGTCTGATGTTCAATACTTGTGTGTCATATGGCAGACTATCGCGAAGGCCTTACGGCCTGTGCCGCCGACCCTGAATGACGACGACGACGACGACGAGCACTCTCGGGGGCCTCTTGGGGGTAGTTTGGGGGCCTCGTGGGAAGCTCTTGGGAGCCGCTGCCTCGTTGGGGCCTCTTGGGGCTTCCTGGGGGTCTCTTGGGGGCCTCTTGGGGCCTCTTGGGGGGCTTCTTAGGGTTAGATTACCCGATGACCGCTACAGTCTGCGAAACAAAAGTTATATGAAAAGTGCTTTCAACAAATATAGGATGGGGGGGAACGCCTATGCTGAATATCCAAAACATAGTCTAAGCATATATCGTAAAACCTGTGTTGTTTCTCAATCGCCCCACGCATTGTGCGAGCGATGAGCCTTTTCGGGGCAGAGTGAAGCAGTACTCGTAAGAAGTGGACAGGGCCACTTCGAATGTGTTTTGTTATTGTTTCAGGTGCTACCGAAACACTTCCCCGAACGGGTGCAATCGTGCACGGGGGGATCTTGCGCTGGAGAATTTCGGGAAACAAAGAAACATACTACACCGATCTAGTCTTTCAAGAGGGGCCCAGAGCCCAGAGGCCCGAGGTGACAGCAAAAACGCTGACCCCACAGAGCCGAAGCCCTGACACCGTAGCGCCCGCGGGCTGCAACCCCAGAGAAAGCCTATACCCCAATCCCGATGCCCAAATCACGCTACCAGAGGCCGCGAGGGAACCCTCATTGAAATACTGGCCGCGGCTTTTCACGCCGAGACCCCTCACCCAGTGCCCCACGCCGAACTGCAAATCTAGCGCGGGGCCCCAAGACCGAGGCCCCTAACGAAACACAGTGTGCTCCAAGATCCGAGTCCTGAATCGGCCGCGCCCCATGCAGACCAACAGAAACCACCTGCAAGTCGCCAATCCGACGCCGAACGCCGACCCATGGCTCTAAGACCCTTGGGTGCCGGGCAGGCGGAGAAGGGCGACAGCCCACGAATACGAAGGACACACATTGGGAAGCAAGGGCATGATGCGTAATCAAATCATCAAGGGAATACAAATGAATAGACATTCTCGCGCAACGCACCTGCTCAGACAGACCTCAGGGGCAACGGCCCCCTTCCTCGAGACAGGGGGACACGAACAAATCACGAATAATATTTCCCAACACTGGCGCAGGCAGAGGGGTGCGTGCACATAACTATCTTCAGGGGGTTCGTTACACTCCACGTTCTTTAAAACGAGGTTCGTCCGCAACGTCTCTCTCTTTCTCTCTCTCTCTCTCTCGAGTCTGCTGTTTCGGAAAGCGGATGTCTCTCGCGCTCCCCGGCCCCGTCGGCGCCCCCGGGCCCCGGTTGGCCCATTCGGCGCTGGCTGCGGCGGGCTGCGGCGGGCGGCCTCTGGGGAGTGGAGCTGCTCGAGTTCGAGGTGCCGGCCCCCGCGGCGGCCCTGGCTCCTCCTCCGCCGCTCCCCACCTGCGAGGTGCCGCAGGCTGGGGGCTGCCCTGGCTGCCCCGTGGCGCCAGCCTGCCCAGTCTGCCCAAGCTGCCCGGCGCCGACTGCTGGCGGGACGGGCGTGGCGGAGCAGGTGGCCTCGCATTTGCTTGCTGGAGGCCTCTGGCGGGCGGCGGCGTGGGCTGCGGAGAGAGGGCGCAGGCCTGCGGCGAGGCGCGCGCCAGTCGGCGGCCGTCGTCCTCGCGATGTCGCTGCTGATGTTCGAGGACGGCGGGGCGTGGTGGAGTGAGCTGAAGCCGGGCCAGACGATCGGCGAACAGTACTGCGGTGACGCGGTGGACCACGAGCGATTGCTGCTTCATCCGTGCACTCGCGAGAAGGATGTTTGGTTTGTCGCCACGCCCGACTTGGATGAGTACCCATGGAGGCTGTGGCGGCAGGAGTGGACGAGGACATCGTCAAGACGTACCCGCTGCCAGACGATGGCTCGAAGCCCTCCTGGCTGGGTAGGAAGTTCTATCGGTTTCGAGTGTACCCAAGCCGCGAGGAGTTCGTGGACATGATCAAGCGTGGGTATCGGGCAGCGGTGGCTTACGACCCTGGCTCTGGGGTGGCGCCTCCTGTGCTGGACGACGTGCTTTTGCCGACGGGCGAGATGGTGCCGATCGGCGAGCTGATCCCGCACTGGCCTGCGCCAGCTCGCCGAGTGCGGGGCAAGCGGACTGCGGCCGCTGGAGCCGAGGGAGGTGGGTTGCCCATGCCGCCCCCGTCGGCCGCCCCGCCAGCGGCGCCGATGGGCGCCGCCGCGCCTCCGCCAGGCCTTCGCTGGCATGCGATGGGCTACGGCGAATCGCTCTCGCCGGGCGACGAGGTTGCGCTGCGCGGCCAGGCCTTTGTCGCGGCTGGCGACCACGATGCGCTGGTGCTGGACGGGTCCTCCGACGCCCACTGCTGGCTGATGCGGCCGGAGGCGGTGCCCGATGTGGTGGCCAAGGGGCGTGCACGCTGGCAGCCTGGAAACGGCGCGGCCGTTGAGGGCACCTCGACCCCGCTTCTGGCGGACCCCGCTGCCGCCGAGGCCGACAGGGCCGAGGCGGCACAGGGCGGAGACGGGCGCCTGCAGGCCCTCGGATGGCTCGCTGCGGGGCGCGCTGGGCTTTGAGGCCGACGGCGCGGCCGCTCCCAGGGGCGCAGATCCCGCCGCCGACGTTCGCACGCTCTGGGTCGAGCATGACAGCCAGGGAGAGAGATTCAAGTGCTGGCGGGACGTGACCCGCGAGAGTACTCAGGGGACTTTCTCGGGCACGCCTCTGGAGGGCCCTGGCGCCGCCCTGTTCTTGGCAAAGCATTTCGACCGCCACGGCGGCGACCCTCGCCAGTGGCTCCTCACGTGGCTGAGGGAACGCAAGATAGATGGGTCGGATCGGACTCACCATGAGATGATGGTGCTGCGCGACGCTCTTTACGTTGCAGGAGTTTACGATCAATTGAATGTTGGAGCCCTCGCATCAGTCGAGACCTTGTGCCGTCGTATCCAGATAATCATCGATGCGTACGCTAACCCTCAGAAGGTCACCTGGGGGCACGCCAAGCTGTACATGGGTGCTGGCACGCCCGAGAACCCCGCAAGCCCGGCCCTCCAGTCGTTTGCTGCGCGGCGGGCCAAGGATCGGGCTGACGCGGTCGCAGCTCTGGGCTAGGGCGGCGCGCGGGGGCTCCGCGGCTACGGCGGCGGCGGGCGCCGACGCGGGCGACGCCGCGGCTGGCGCTGGAGGTCGCGGAGCACGCGGAGGTCGCGGCGGCGGGGGGCGCGACGGCGGCGGCCGAGGCCGGCGCAGACTCGCGCCCGCTGCCGCCGATCCGCAATGATCGGCAGCACCGCCGAGGGGGCTCGCCCCTCCCTTGGAGGGCGATCGCGGGGCGCTGGGGTTCCTTCCCCAGGTGGCCGTCCTCGGAGGGACTTCTTCCCCCTGCCTGTTCCTGCCATGCCTGCAGGCCCTGCCACTTCGACTCGTTCGGCAAAGAAGGCTTGGGGCCGTGCTAGGCGGCGCGCAAAGATGGTGCAGGGGGCGGTCCACGGACTGAACTGGCTTGCTGGCTACGACACTTGGGGCCCTTCTCAGGAGCCTGCGACAACTGGAGTTTTGACGCCCGAGGTGATGGCCCGCGCGGAAGGCCTGGTCAAGGACTGGGAGCCCATGCCTGAGGCCCTCTCGGGGCGGGAGGCCCTCCGAGACCTCCTGCGCGGCCAGTCCCTGTACGAGCTGGGGACTGGCTCCGCGAACCTCGCTGCCTTCGACGCCGACCTGGTGTCCCTGCCGAGCGACGTGTCGGGGTCCCCTCCGATTGAGTCGCTGCTGGACGCCGAGGTCTCTCGCTATTTGGAGGACTATCATGAGCTGATGCTGCGACCCGTGACTGACTTGGAGAGTATCGAATCCGAGACACGTGAGATCACACCCTATACCGATAGAAAGCTGCTTTACACTAAGAAGGCCTACCACGGCTTCGTCAGACGGCTCTGGGGTCTTGGAATGCTGGATGCAACCCTCAGGCCCATGGAGAGGATCGGGATCTTCTTCGTCTGGAAGAGCAACAGGACACGTCTCAGGCTGATCATCGACGCTCGGAGAAGCAACTGTTGGTTCCGTGTCCCGCCAGGCGTCCGCTCGTGCACTTCGGGGGCCTTCGCGAACGTCGAGATTGGCGATGGCGTCTTAGCGGGCCTGGAGGGTATCAGACTGCACCTCGGCATGGCTGACGCGAAGGACTGCTTCCATCGCCTCGAGGCCCCTGCCTGGCTCAGGCCTTACTTCGCCTGGCCGAGGTGCCCGCGCGGGTGCTGGGGCTGCGCGGGCTGCGCGGAGTGCAGCTCAAGCCCGCCGACGCAGCGTGGCCCACCTCCGCCTCCATGTGGACGGGGTTTGCTTGGTCGCTGTACTTCCCGGAAGGCTGGCGAGCGGCTGGCGGCCGCGGCGCCCAGCTTGCACGTGTCGGCGCTGCTGCGCGACAGGTCGCCCCCCCTGGTGCTGGCCGAGGGCCGCCCCGCCGCTGCGTGCACGTGGACAACCTGGGCGCCTTCGCCCGGGGCCGGGGCCTGGCCCAGAGCGCGGTCCGCGAGTGGGAGGCGAGCTTCGCTGCCCACGGGCTGGAGCTCCACGGCGGAGAGGTGGCGAGCAGGGACATCCGCGCCTTCGGCTGCCGGCTTGACGGCCAGCGGCTGCGGACCGCCACCACGCCTGAACGTTTTTGGAAGGTGTGGGCTGCGAGTGAGGAAATACTCCGCCGGGGTAAATGCGCAGGTTGAGCTCTTGAATGCTGGCTTGGTCATGCTACCTTCCTAAGTCTGATCCAGAGGGGGCCTCTTGTCTGTCTTCCACGTGCTATCGTTTCTGTCGTGCCCATTACTCGGAGGTCGCCCCTCTATGGCCTTCCGTTCGTGATGAGATCCGAGCCTGGAAGGGACTGATGATCTTTTTGGTTCAGGACTGGGGACGTTGTTGGAGTGAGCTTGTGACTGAAAGTGTTGCCAGTGAGCAGGGATATGGAATCTGCACATCGTTCTGGCGCCGGGCGCAAGTGTCTTCCGTCGGCCGCGTTTTGGAGAGGAGCTGGTTTCAGCTCAAGGGCCACAGTGCTCGCGAGTCGGCCCTCAGCGCGGCCGGCCTCGTTCGGGACCCTCGATCTGGTGCCTGGGAAACCCCGGGGGGCGAGAGCGCCGAGTTTTCTGTCGCGTCCGATTTTCCTGAGGCCCCAGCGGGGCTCCTCGACAGAGGCCTCTGGGCCCTTCGTGTCTGGGGCAAGTGGAGTTTTGCCGAGGACATCGTCATTCTCGATGCTCGGGCCTTGAGGCTGGGGGTCCGTCGTTTTGTTATGAACTCCCCTGGGTGCCACCGTAGGGCTTTGATGCTTAGCGACAATATTAGCGTCGTTTTGGCCTGTGCACGGTCCCGCTCACGCGAATTGCGGCTCCTCATGCATATTCGTCGGGCCGTGGCGCGCAGCCTTTCTCGTAATGTAGCTTTCTCTTTTAGGTGGATTCCAAGTGAATTGAACTCAGCGGACGAGCCCTCGCGTCGACGCGACCCCGATTTCCCTAAGAGGCCGACTGCTTGCTGCTCTTGCCCCTCTCCTCCGCGCTCAGTTCGGCTCAAAACTTTCTCGGGCGCCGCTTCGCCGGGCAGCTCCTCGGACTCGCGTCTTGTCTCGACCAGTGCCCCAGGAAGCGCCGAGCCCGAACCGTCGGCGAGCTCTGAGGCCCCCTTCGAGCGCCAGAGCTGGGGGTGCGTCTCTCGGGCCGACGGCGCCGAGACGGTCTTCCCAGACGTTGGGCCCGCCAGGCGACTTGGCGCACCGTTTGCCGACAACGGGGCCGAACCTGCTGGGCGCCTTGCCGCCCTTGGGCTGGCGCCGCGGGCCCCTGCCGGCTCCAGCTCGAGCGGCAGGTCCTCGTCCGAGCCCAAGCCCGACGCCGTCGGCGGAAGGGCGAGGGGGCTGGCGAGGCGGTCGCGGCGGCGGCTGTCGAATCACCTGGGAGCGGTGCTGGGTTTCGAGAAGGAGGGCCTGAGCTTGCTGGAGGACAAGGCAGTGACGGCCAACATGCGGCGCTACTACTCGAGCCACCTCCAGGACTTCGAGACGTTCGCAAAGGGGCTCGACCCAACGCTCGCGGGCGACGACGACGTGGACGGCTGGCTCGCGAAGCTCTTCAATGCGAGCTTCCTCCCTGGCCGGCAACCGGACTATGGGGAGAAAATGCTGGCAGCCTTTGCCGACCGCCACCCGGCCTTCAGCAAGGCTGGCAGGCGGCGGCCCCCCCGGGCCTGGCGCTGCCTGCGGGGCTGGCACCGCCTTGCGCCTGGCCGCTCCAGGCGTCCTCTGCCTCAGGCGGTGTGGAAGGCGATCGCCGCCGACCTCTGCCTGCGGGGGCGCAAGTTGATGGCCGCGTCCGCCCTCCTGGGCGTGGGGCCTTACTTGCGGCCCCACGAGCTGATGAAGATTCAACCCGAGGACCTGCCCCCCCCCGCGCGGGGTGCATCGGGGCACTGGTCTCTCGTCATCTGCCCGCAGAACAGGGGCATCACCACCAAGACGGGGGCGATGGACGGCAGCGTGGCGCTGGACTGCAAGTGGCAGCTGGAGCCGACGCCGCTATGGTCTGCGCTGGCGGGGGCTCCCAAGGACAAGCCCGTCTGGACGTTCACGTACCCAGAGCTGGCAAGAAAGTTCAAGGAGACGCGCAGCCAGCTCGGCGTCCCAGCGGTGCCCGACATGATGCGGCACAGCGGCCCCAGCATCGACGGGGCCCTGCAGCTCCGCCCCCTCGACGAGGTGCGCAAGAGGGGGCGCTGGGCAAACCGCAAGTCGGTCGTTCGGTACGAGACGGCGGCGAGGCTGAGCAAGGCCTGGCACGACCTTCCCTTGGCGACCCGGACGCGCTGCGAGGCGCTTGACGCGCGCTTCGAGGAGCTGCTGCTGCGAGGTGCCAGCCGCGCGGCTGGCGGCACGGAGCGGCGTTGAAAGGCTAGTATCTCGGCGATTCCTTCTCGGGCGAAGTCGGGGTTGCCCGCGCCGGCCGCCGACAAGGTGCGCCTGCGCGGACCTGGGGCGTCCGAGAGGGGGCCCCAGGCGATTTAACTCGTTCGTCTGTGCTCAGATGTGTACGCCAAGACGCCAGCTTGGGCCGTCTCTTAGCAGCCATGTTCGCTCCACCTTGTCAGGCGTTCTCTGTTGCCAGAGACCGCGCCGTGGTCATGCGAACGCCCCAGTGTCCTTGGGGAGTCCCCTGGTGCAACACACGGGATGCGGTAAAGCTGGTGCAGGGAAACGCGTGTCTCAACGCATGTTTGAATATCCTAAAGTGCGCGCATGCTCGTAAGATTCCGTGGGTTCTCGAGAGTCCAAACTCGTCTAAGATGTGGATGATCCCGCAGGTGCAAGCGATGCTGCCTTGGGAAAGGGTCGAGGTAGTTGCGAGCGACTTTTGCCAGTTCGGCGCTCCTTGGGGGAAGCGCACTCGGTTCATTTGCGGAGGAGTTCCAAGAGAAGACCTGGCCAATCTAAGGGGTATTTGCACCGGTAAAAAGGGTTTTTTTGCAGTATGACTAGATGTAAACACCACCAGTAAGAAGGATCCGCAATGACACGTAGAGCCCAACCTTACCCGAGGAGATTGCGAATCGCTCGCTCACTCGCTGCTGCATTGCATTCGGAATACCATGATCAACTATTCCGATCTTGCTCTCGCGACCCGCCCTCGCCCAGACCCTCCTTAATTCGAGAACTTCCCTTTTCGGGTGTTTTCGGGATTTTTTAAGGCTCGGTCCAGGGGTGCTGGCCCAATCCCTTTGGCGGCCGGGTCGCAGCCGCCAAGACGCGCGCGGTTTCTACGAGACATATGTTGCCCGCTGGAAAAGAAGCCCCGTTGATAGAGGTGTGCGTGCACATAACTATCTTCAGGGGGTTCGTGACACTCGACATTCCTTTAAACAAAGTTGGTCCGCAACGTCTCTCCCTCTCGCTCTCTCTCGCTCTCTCTCTCTCTCTCTCTCTCTCTTTCTTTCTCTCTCTCTCTCTCTCTATCCCTCTCTCTCTCTCTCTCTCTCTCTCTCTCTCTCTCAAGTCTGCTGTTTCGCCCCCCCCCCCCACACACGCCAGGATTTTTTAAGGCTCGGTCCAGGGGTGCTGGCCTAATCCCTTTGGCGGCCGGGTCGCAGCCGCCAAGACGCGCGTGGTTTCTACGAGACATATGTTATCCGCTGGAAAAGACGCCCCGTTGATAGTGTTATATCCACAGATCTTGTCTCACCCTTCGGCGCGCGGCCCCGCGCCGCGGCCGCGCGTGACCGCGCCCCATCGCGGGTGGGCTCGCGACGCAGCGCCGGTCGACGCGCCGCGGGGGCGCGAGCCTGCCGTCGCAGGCCCTGGCACTCACTAAAGTTCAGCAGGGTCGAAGGCAAACTGATTCAGCACTCGATCCCCGCATCTTGAGCGCATCCCTGTACCGCGACACCACGACGCGCGGCAGTGACTCAGGCGGGATGCCGAACTTCCTGAGCTTGGCTGGGTATTCATGCAGCTGTTGCGCATGGCTATCTTGTTAGCTTGGAGCGGCTCCGTGCCGAACGCCTTCAGGAGCTCTGCGCTCATGCAGAGCGCGCGGATGACCACGATTCCCTCGGTGATGCCTGCGGTCGCCTCGGTGGAGTAGCTTGGCAGCGAGTACTCTGTCGCCTTGCCCGCCACGGTCGTCAAGGCCCCCCTCGATGGTGCACGTCTGGTCGAGCCACTCGTTGACGGGCGCCTCGTGCAGACCGATGCGGTAGAGGTCGAGCGCGGCATTGAGAGTCGTACAGTGTCGCACTCCTTTTTGAACTCAGCGACGCCAGCCGCCTCCTCAGCGCTCTTCTTCAGGTTCGTGAAGTCCAGCCTTGTCTTCTCGCACAGGGCGCCGGCGATCTTCGCCCCGACCCTCTGGACAAGGTCGCTCGCAGAGTTCACGGCGTCAGCCACCTGCAGCGACGCGCCAGCGTGAAATTTCTCAAGGGCAGTGCTGCGGGCGTTGTGGTTCGCTTTCTGGACGGCACGGGTCAGTTCCCTGGCGCGGCGCTCGACGTCGGCAGGCGTAGCATCTTGCAAACCCTCCTCCACGTGGTGCTCCGCCTGCGCGAGCGTTGTCTGGGCGCGCGCCACGCGCCAGGCAGCGCCCAGCCACGCTGCCACGCCCGTTGAAGCATCCACCGATGAAGATGGCACGTTAGGCGCTAAGAGCCCCAAGACTTCAAACATGAAACCATCTTTCGTAGTCCAGTCGGCCCCGTCCTTGAGGAGGTCGACAATGATGGAGGCGCATAACGAGTTGCACGACTCCTGCAGCTTCTCGGGCAAGGGCTTCATGCGACAGCTGTGTAACGCATCCTTCAGACGGTGAGTCAATTCCTCATCACCATCATTCCGCGTGGTCAACGCATCTGCTAACATCTCGTGCTTCACGCCGAGGTCCATGGCCGCTATCTTGGACTGGAGCGCACGAGAGCAGCGCTCCACTTGCTCGTCCGCCGCGAACACGTTGGACAAGTCCTTGAACAACTCCTTGTAAGCGATCGTCACCGCCGTCGTCTGGGCGCCGCCCTCCGTGCCGATGTCGCCGTTGCCCTATGGGGTGGGGCAATGGGCCCACCTGCGCTCCCACGTCCAACCCTATCGGTGTGTACTACTAGCTGCTAGTCAGCAGTCGCTAGTCCTAGCTACTGGTACCCCATAGACAAGCCGACGGGGACTGGACACAGGAGTGCAAGTGGGCTTACTCCCCCCCCCCCCCCCCCCCCCGAACCTCGCAATCAGAAGTGAGCGCCTTGCACTGCAAGATGGACCTGTTGAGGACCATGGCCTTGCACTCGTCCGCGCAGCCCGTGTGCATGGCGGCCTCCCAGTACGGTGCGTCGCCCACGATGCGCTTGAGCAGCTTGGCGCGCTGCTCCGACAGGTTAGCGTCCATCCGCTCCAGCTCGGCGATGGCCGAGTTCACCTGGCCGCCGTTCTTCGCGACGGCATCTGCGTGCTCCGCCAGCCACTTCAACTTCTTAGCCCAGAAGTCGCTGGCGCTCGTCAGGAGCGCCTGGCCCACGAGCTGATGCGCGCCCTGCTGTCCAGTTGCGCGTCGGCCCTCAGCTTCCAAGCGCCCTGCGTCCACGTACACCTGCATGTTAGTGTCAGCAGTCAAGGACGTCGCCTGCAACCCTCGAATCGCTGAAGTCATCTCGAGGTAAACTGTAGCAGAGTGGTCGCCGAACTCCGCCTCTTCGGGCAGCGATGCGAGGACGAGCTCCGCTGCCTCGCAGTAGAGCTTGGCGTTGTCAGCCGCGCTGGGACCTGTCGTGAGCCACTCTGCGAGGGTATCTGCGACGGCGATCTCCAGGAAGGTGTTCGCGGCGTCGACGTCGGACGTGCACCCATCGACCAAGCACACTGCACATGGTTTCATTACATCCCGAGGTTTGTCGGTGAAGCCTCAAGGCCGACACCGCTCCATGAAGCCGACCAGCAATTGCTTCATCTTGTCCGTGACCAGGTCGGCCTTGTTGATGTCCCCCCAGGCGTTCATGGCAGTCATCCTGGCCAATGCCTTCACAGCCCGTTGCGTGAGCGTGGCGCCCGCTTTTCAGAGGACTTCCCATGAGACCATCAGCTTCCCGTCTGGCACCTTCGCCACAGCCTTCTCGTCGAACAGCTTCCTTCGCCTTGGTGTAGAGCTCCAAGTGGGTCTCCAGCGTGCGGCGCTCCGTGCCCGTGAGCTTCTGGACGAGTTGTCTAGCTTGGTGCTCGGCTTTTCCATTCTTATGGCCGTTGAAGGCCCTCTCGGACGCCAGCTCCCAGACCCAGTAGTCAACTGTGCCGAGCGTGTGCGGGTTCTGCTTTTCGGGCTCGTAACTGTCGGTGGGCACCGCGGCCGTCCTCGAAGATTTCGAAGGCTTACCGCCCATGTCACGCGGCGACATTGACGGCTGCTTCTTCACTGCGCTGCCAGGCTGATGATCGATGGAGTCAGTTCTGGAGGAAGCGGCCCCAGTGCACTCCGCCGCGGCATCTGAGCCGAAGGGATGCACGCTGCTCGAGGCCGCATCCTCAAACTCAATCACCTCGATGTCATCGCCCCCTCCGTCGTCGTCGTCCTGCTCGCCGATCTTCGATCCAGCGCGGGTCCTCTTGGCGTTCGTCTCCGCTATCCTGTCAGCGCGGCCACGCGCCTCGGCCCACGTCGCGATGGACGAGCGCGCGCCAGGCGTGAGGTCGAGGTAGATCTCGCCACCCTGGCCCGCAGTGGTAGCACCAAACAACACGGTAGACTGGTTCTCGAACAGCTCTTGGGCATCTCGCTTGAGGTAGCCGACGCTGACCACGGTGCTATTGCGGTGGTACAGCTTGAATGTTGGATATTTGCCTCTCGACTCGGGGCAGGCCTTCACCAAATAGACGGTAAACGAGGTCGGCCGAGATGGAATCTCAATTGGTTTGATGTGTAGTGCTTTGGCCGTTCTCCCGAACTCCCGCTCCACGTCTTTGGCCGTCAGCGCAGCGCACTTCACGTAGAGCTCGAAGCCGCAGTCGGCGGAGTCGCCTAGGTTGAGCGTCATGGGAGGCGTCCTCGTCGGTTGCTTCTGAGCTGGCGTCTAATCCTGCTGACACAAATCACGCAACTGCCCTGCCTCTTGAGCTGCGACCAACCCTGACCAGGACAGCGCAGGTGCGTTCTCCAGGAGCCACGTCAGGCATTCAACGCAAGCCACCTCCCCCTCCTCCAGGTGCACGGCCAGCTCATCGCCGTCGCCGTTCTGGACCATCCCTGTGTCCTGGATGAAAAACAACAACACAACAACCCTCTGAACTCGAACGCCTCTACTGTTCACCCCGCTCGGAGCCTCAAAGCGGGGCCGTTTCAAACTCATGCCAAAAAACGGTGCGCCTAGGATTGCAAAAGGCACTCGGCCTTTGAAACCCCGAACGCCTCACCGCAAAATTGTTCGGACCACGACAGACACGGCCAACAGGGGGCCAGCGGTCCAGAGTGCCAGGACACATGGACACGTGCTGATGATAAGTGCGTAGTGCTTGTTGGCCCTCAGTCCCTGTCGGTGCGCTGGCACAGATCGCAAGTGCTGACCGAGCCGCTGCCTCTCCCGCGCCCCTGCCGCGACCTGCCGCGGCCGCCTTTCGCAGCACCGCGGCCGGCGGTCGGGTGCCCTCGGGCCGGCGCATGTGACTTGCGCCCCGTGGCCATGGGCTGTTGCGAAGGCGTCAAGAAAAGACAAAAAAACATAACCCTTCCCTTGATACAGTGCAGCAGCGAATGCAAAAGTAAGACGAACAAGTACCCGTCATGGCAGCCACTTGGAGCGATTATGACCAGACCATGTGCAGGTGTCACTCGGGGCCCAGTCTCAAGCATCCAGCGTTTAGCCTCTAGTCTCCAATAATATTCGTCTACGTGCGGTGCGACTGCGACGCTACTCTCGAGTTCCCTGCTGCCTCGGGATTCGCGGGGCCTGCCAGCGTGCGGGCAACGAGCGTCACAGCAAATGCCAGGAGAGCGCTTCCGACTAGATGACTAGACACTAGAAATACTTAGTTACACCCAATTACAACCAGCTACCCCCAGCTACACACAGTTACACTCAGTTGCACACAGTAGTAACGCATAGTTACACCCAGTTTCACCCAGTTGCACACTGCTCCGCCCAGTTACACCCAGTTACACATACTTACAAGTTACACCCAGTTACACCTAGTCACACGCAGTTCAACCGATATTCGCCGAACTGCCGCACGTTTGAGTCTGATCCTACCAATACGCTTCGCACAAACACTCCGTGCTGCCATCAATCTGAATGGGGTTGCAGGCGCCCCTCCCCGTGGAAAACTCTCAAAGGGGAAAGTCTGTACAAAATCAAGCTTGTTGTACAGAATGTCCATCTGGCCTTTGTCGTACCGCAAAAAGCGAGACGTCGATCGTCTACCTTCGTCAATACCCCGGTTTGAGATGACGATGGCGACGATGGCGACGGCGATGACGATGATGCTGGCCGTGGCGACGATGGCGACGATGGCGACGGCCGTGATGGTGATGGTGATGGTGATGGCGAGGGCGATGGTGGTGATGATAATGTTGATGCTGATGATAATGAGGATGACGATGACGATGCCGACGACGGTGCTGACGACGACAGATGATGATGACGAGCATGACTTCGAGTTTGGCGATGGAGACGGCGATAATGGCGATGACGACGATAACGGCGATGGCGACGGCTAAGGGCTAGGACGATGACGACGACGAAGATGACGCGGTGATGAGGAAGAGGGAAGTGATGACGATGACGAGGCAGATGACGAATTTGCAAGACGACGATGACGACGCCGATGGTTATGATGACGATGATGATGATATTGATGATGATGGGGATGATGGCGATGGCGACGTTGACGATTGCGACGACGATGATAACGACAGTGGCGACGACGACAATCACGATGAGGATGGCGACGACACGGGAGAAATGCTTGGCAAATTTAGTGTTGCATCACATGTTCCCTTCGGATTTTCCACGGGGCGCGACGCCTGCAGTCCCGCCCACGTGGCCGCAGCATGACGACCGTGACAATTCGACAGGAAGACGACGACGACGATGGCGATGCTGATGCTGGTGATGATGACAATGGCGACGGCGACAATGATGATGGCGACGATGGCGATGATGGCGATGACGACGGTAACGATGATGACGACGATAGGGGCGCCAATGACGACGGTGACGACGCTGACGATGACGACAATGACGTCGGGGCACCTAAGTTCGCATTGTCCCTCTCTTGGGCCTCTCTTGGGCGCCTTTTGGTGACCTTGCGGGTGCGTAGTGGAGGTTCGCTGGGCTCTGCCTAGTTCGGGCGTCGGATGTCCTGAAGACGACGCGGGGCGTCTGGGGCTTCGTTGCAGGTGCCCTTTCAGCGCCTAGTCAACATAAGAAGCTGCCCCCGCGCGCCTTGGGCGGGCCGTTCGGGAGGCGGTGGTTGGAGGGGCACGGGGGGGAGGGGGCGAGGAGGATGGGCAGGAGTAGAAGGAGGAAGACGACGGCGACGAAGATGGCGAGTTGGTCGGACGACGATGACAGCGACGACGATGGCGATGATGATGCGCATGGTGATGGTCCATGTGACGGTGATTGTGGTGGTGGCGTTGATGGTGGCGACGGTGACAACGGCGTTAATGATGATGCGGAGGAGGAGGAGGAGGAGGAGGAGGAGGAGGCGGATGGCCATGACTGTGACGGTGACGGCGACGCTGACGATTGCGACAATAACGACGAGGACGATGATGGCGACGGAAAGAACGGCGACGACGAGCACGGCGCCGATGACGACGACGACGATGACGAGGCTTGTGACGACGATGACGAGAATGAAGTCATGAGGAGGAGGAGGAGGAGGAGGAGGAGGAGGAGGAGGAGGAGGAGGAGGAGGAGGAGGGTGACCATGACGATGACGACGCAGATGACGAGGTTGCAGGACGTCAACGACGACCACGCCGATGGCGATGATTCTGATGATGCAGATGGTGGTAATGACTGTGGCGGTGGCTGTGGTGATGAAGATGGCGCTGGCGATGCCGACGACGATGCCGACGAGGACGGTGACCATCGCAATCCTGATTGTGATGGCGATAGTGGTCATGACTGTGACGACGAGGACGCAGTGGTGATGCGGGGGAGGAAGGCGACGAAGTTAATGACGACGCAAGTGGCGAGTTGGCAGAATGCCGATGGCGACGACGACGTCGATGGCGGGGGCGATGCCGACGACGACGTTGATGACGACGGCGGGAACGACGACGACGACGACGACGACGACGACGACGACGGCGGCGAACCTTTGGAGGCGTCACTTTCAAGGGCGTTGAACGTGACACCTCGCAGGGCCCCCTCGGGGCCCCCATTGGGCCCTCTCGGCGCCTTTTTTTCTATTATGCCATGAATGTGCGGGCCCCAAGGAGCCCCTAAGGGGACACAAGAGGAGCTAGACTAAGCCGCTGGTTTGAAATAACAACTCATGGCGATTTGTTGTGCCTCTCTTGGGGGGGGGGGCGTTCTGGTGAGCTCTTGGGTCCTCTCGGGGCAATCTTTTAGCTGTCCAGGTGCCCTTCAGAGGCCCTCTCGGGCTTCCCCCGAGGCTTCGGGAGGGCTTCGAGCGACCCCTTGGCGATTCAATTTCACTGGCGTTGAACGCGGCACCTCGAAGGGCACTCTGGGCACCCTCGCAAGGCCGTCTCGGAGCTCTCCTGTGGCCCTTCGAGAGCCCCCATCGGGCTCCTTTCGGTGACCCGCGCGGGCTTCGAACGACCCCTTGCGGGCGTCGCGTTCACGGGCGTTGAACGCGACACCTAGACATGCCTTCTTTGAACCTTCTCGGTGCTGCCGCGGTGCGTTCTCGGCGTTCTTTTGGTGCCCTCGTTGGGTTCCTCCAGGGGCTCATGGGGGTGCTTCCAGCAACCCAACCCGTTAGAAGTGGGGGCTCCCCCATGCTCTTTCGAAGCCCTCGCGCCGCGTTTTTGTTCGCCTTTGTTATGGACCCGCGGCTGCCTTGGGGTGGGCCCAAGGCGAGCAATGCTACACAGCTGGTTTAGTACAGCTCATCATGGCTCCCGTTGCGCGTTTCTTGGGGGCCTCTTGGGGCATTCTTGGACGCTCTCGGGGCGGCCTCCTGACTGCCTCGGGGCCCTCTCTGTGCCCCCATCGGGCTCTCGTTTTTTTTTCGGGAGGGCTTGGGGCGACCCCGCTGCGGCGTCACTTTCACGGGAGTCGAAAGTGACGCCTCGAAGGGCCTGCTCGGCACCCCCCCGGCGCGGTCTTGGGGCTCTCTCTGGAGCCCAAGGGGCCGAAGACCTCGCCGTCGATTGGTTTCCAGGCGCGCGCCCAGACGGACCGCGCCCGCCTACGCGCGCACGTTCGCCAACAATTCTTGCGGTCCGAGCTGTTCGGCGGGGCTGCGCCAAAGACATGGGTGGCAACGGGCGCTGCCGGGGGCACTCGCACAGGAGGAGGAGGAGGAGGAGGAGGAGGAGGAGGAGGAGGAGGAGGAGGAGGAGGAGGAGGGGAGGAGGATGGAGCGGGCGCGGAGGAGGAGGAGGAGAGAGAGGGCGGCCATCTCCTCTGCCACTGGGCATCGCGCCCAGCGGCGCCAAGCGGCGCCACATGACGCACGCCGCCAGCACGACTCCTTCGACGCACGCTTCCAACCCGCGGCGGCGCTCACTCGAGCTACTCATGGGCCGATATTGGCGGCAATACTGAATTCACATGCGCGGGGGATGTCCGCCCCAACTGCTGATCATGTAGGGAAGTCGCGGGTGCGTGCTCGGTGGTTTTGCGGCTCCCGCGGTTGCCTCGCTCGGGCCAGGCGCGCCGTGTTGTCTCATGCTGGTGGCCGTCTGGAGCTACCGGTACCATCTGAAGTCCTATTGGGTTCCTCCTGGTGCTTCGGGATGGCTTCAGGCGGCCCCTGGGAGACGTCGCGTTCGCTGGCGTCGAACGCGACGCCTCGAAGGGCCCTCTCGCGACCCTCTCGGCGCCGTCTTGGGGCTTGCATGGGGCCCCTTTCGGCGCCCCCTTGGGCCCATATGAGGAGGGGGTCCAGCGACCCATCGAATGCGTCACTTTCACGGGCGTCGGGCGCGACTCCTTGAAGGCCCCTTTCTGGGGCCCTTTCGGAGCCCCCATCGGACCCTCTCGAGGCCCTCGCCGTGAATTTTTCATGCCCCAACAGGGCCTATGGTGGCTCGAGGGGGGCTGCATTGAACAGCTGGTTGAACGTAGCTCCTCGTAGCTCCGTTTGGCTTCCCCGGGAGTCTCTCAGGGTCTTGTTGGGCCCTCTCGGGGCAAACTTTTGGCTCTCCTGGGGCCCGCTCGGGGCCCTCTTGTGCTCCTTCTGGGGCTTCGGGGTGGCTTCGAGCGGCACCTTGGCGGCGCCATTTTTACTGGCGTTGAAAAGGGCACCTCGGGTGGCCTTCTCGGCGTCCCCTGAGCGCCATATTGAGGCTTTCTTAGGGCCCGAGAGAGTCAAGACCTCGCCGTCGATTGTTTTCCAGGCGCGCGCTCAAGCGGAATGCGCCCGTCTGCAACGCGGGATCGCCATAATCCTTGCGATCCGAGCTCCTCAGAAGGGCGGCGTTAGAAACAAGGTCGGCAGCAGGAACCCCGAGTGGAAGGGGAGGATGAGGAAGACGAGGAGGATGACGAGGAGCAGGAGGAGGGGATGAG